CAGCCAAAAAACTCGAGAAAATGCTAGAAACTTCTTACCATTTTACCGAGTTTTTCTGTCGAAATTCTTTTAAATAAGTAGAGTGAAACATGAATAACTGATCTCTTTAATTAATTGAGCTTTTGTTTAAGATGATATGAGAATTCGATGGAGAAAAACTATTGATCAAAAAAAATCTGATCATTCAATATTTGAAAAAAAACTCAATTTTGATTATGAATTTTGTTTTTGTTCAGGTAACAAGAAAAGCTCTAATAGACATCGTACGTAAATTAATGATTCATATGGATAAATCTGAAGGATCATATTATCGAGATGAACTACTTTCAAAAATAACTGAAATATGTAGTCAAAATGATTATTAACATATAACTAATTTTGAATGGTTTACATTTATTTTTTAATTTTTATTAATAAAAAAACATTATTTATCACTATAGATATATTAGTATATTAGTTGAATTAACTCGTCTTGAAAGTACAAAACATGGTAATCTCATATCTTTACAAATGCTTGATGTTGTTGTTCGTGTTGAATCTATTCGTTCATTTGCTTGTAATCAAATGATAGAAATTTTTCAAAGATAAAATCACGAAAAAAGTTTTTTATTTCTATTCTTTCAGGTAATTCTTCTTGAAAATAATTATGTGTTTATTCATGATTCAAATTCTACAACTGTCTCCGAACTTTTATATGCTGCTGCATGGATTTGTAGTGAATTTTGTTCGTAAGTCAATAACGAAAAATAAAATTAATTGAAAGAATTCTTGTTTTTCTTTTCTCTATAGTCATTAAAAAATCAAAATATTTTATAAATTATAATATATTTAATTCAATCATCGAATAATGATGAAACATTAATTTAACAACTTCTTTCATTAACGATTGATAAAATGTCTCTATTTTTATCAAGTGGTGATGTCGAAGCACAAGAACGAGTAGGCCATTTTTTCTTTTTGTTTTAAAATATCAAATATAAAAAAAAAAAGAAATTATTTATTTAGGCCAAGTGTTATTTTACATAGTCTTAAAACAACATTAAAGTTAATTGAAAAATCTGAATTTAATATTAATGAATTATCAGTATTATTTGATGGTGTTCTTAATCCAATTGTTGCTAAAGTTCAAAGTTTTTGGATTTGGGTGGTTGGATAAATGATCCTCAATCAGACAGTGAAGATGAATCGATAACAACAAGTTCATCTTATGATAATAAAGGTTTATTTTATGATGATGATGGAGAAAATTCTAATTCTAATTCATACTCTGGTGATACATTAAGTTATCATAAATCGAAAAAATATATTGAATCAACTGCTGAAGAATTAGAAAAACAACGAGAATCAAAAAAACAAAGTGAACAAATGAATCCATTCTATTTAAAAGATTTAAAAAAAAACCAAAATTGACACAAATAAGTTTTTAGTGTTAGTGATTT